CTGCATATCCAAGCATCAGTGGGTATTAGATTTGTTAGGTGGTAAAGAATTGAATGCTCGGATCCCGCAAGACTTCGCAGACATTTTGTCCCACCTTCGAAAGAAGGAGCAGGGATGCTTGCAGTCTGTGGCCAGGGTCGTGTTTGCACAAGCATCCACTTTCCAGGAAGCAGAAATGGCAAGAAGAAGGATTGGCTGCCATGCATGATCAAGTGTTAGATGATAAGGAAACGAGGCATGAGATCTTCGAACTCAAGCTTGGGAGTGTTCAACAATCCACTGCAGCTTAATCTACTGCTACATCTGAGCTACTTGTCCGCTCTGTAGCCATCATTCCGGGCATGGAACGCGCAGCATCTACACTGCGGCATGCGGGCACTCTCGCGACAGATGCCGGGCGCTTCGCGCCGCTCAACGCAAAGGGACGGTCTAAGCCCTGAGGTCTTTGTTTCTCTCGTGCTCAGAGCTACTGAAAAAGACTGCCCTGAGATGAAGAGATTCTGGATGGAGTCGGATAGAGTGGAAACCTGGGAAGACATGGCTGCTACCTTCCCGGCGCAAATCTGAATTCCAGATAAGAATACCTTGCGTAGCAAGTCATGCAGCCAATAATTACTATACAACACGTGTGTCTCATTGCAGTAAAGATTCCGGAAGATGGGTCCTCGGAGTAATGGAAGGATCGAAAACATCCGATACCTGAACCAGAACTTTCAGCTTCAGTCATTAGTCATTTATTCCTAAGATTCACTTGAGCAAAGCCTGAGGTCTCTGCCTTTTTTCAAATTGATGAGAGAATCACCCTGTTACCATCCAAGGAAGGTTGAGCCTCAGATGCCTTCTGAAGTCTGGCAGATCCAGGCAGCTGTCCGCACGGAACTGGAGAGGCCAATAGCACGGCAAGTATCAGGATTCATGTCTCGTTTTTTTTGGACATCCAAGAACAGCTCAAAATGCTCCAGCCCCCAGCCAGCCTGCTGCGAGGCAGACGCGGCAGTTAGAAGACATGCTCTCCAAGCAGGCGCACCGATGTTTGGGCTCAGCGCGCCTTGCTGTGCCAAGTTATGGTATTGTACCGTCAGCTTACGACATGAGAAGTGGGCGTAGGGAGGTCCAGTCCAAGTCCCTCTCTGGAGGCCCAGTCTGCTCTGGACAAGCACAGCCAGGAGGTGCCTCGGTCCTGGTGCATGTAGGACTTTCAGACTCCTGACGATTAGCATTAAGGATCATTAAGGTAAAGAAGCGAAGCGCGCGTTCGTCCAGAGTCGGCTGGCACTCTACACATGTTCTTCAACAGTGAGGGGCCGCTCGATTAGGGAGAATGAGCTTGCACACATGAGTAGAATTTTCAGCTCGGCCGTGTGCCATTGTGTAGGCAGGCGCATGGATTTTTTTCAAAGGGAACACATGAAACCCTATCAAGCCCATGTTCCTGAGCACACTATGTCTTGTTAGTTGTCATCATCGCAAGCTGATGGCTCTCAACAAGAGGTGCAGGGGGTGTCAGCAGCTTGGCAGCTGGTAGCCCGAACGATTGGTGAGCAGCTGCAGGCGAGACTTGCTTCAGGGGTTCTCATCAGAATTAGTTCAGTTTCTGAAGGAGTGTGTGGAGGGTAGGGCACCCTGTTTCGAAACCTGCCCATGCATGACATGAGCTGATAAGAGACCTTTCTGGGTGCTTGTGGTTGCCATGACGAGAAGTTGTTGGCAGTTGTTGTCGCTGCAAGCCGCACGCCGCAAAGTATGGGATTTCCTGAGCATCATTGTGTGACATCGTCGTCGTGTTTGTTTACGTGGCTAGCACCAGGTGAGTCCGTGAAGATGTTGACAGCGTTTTATCCAATGGTGGGCATGTGAGGCCGGCTTCAAGTCGACGCAACGAAGCTACCAGGCTATCGCTGTGTTGCGTGCATGCGAACCGATCCAAACCCGAAGCGAGGATGTGAAACGATCAGGCATTTCAACTTCTGCCTCTGCAGTGCAGGAGCAGGGAGAGCGCATAGAGCTTCTAGAGGCCTCTCTCCGCCGCACTTTGCAGGCGCGGCCTGCGCAAGCTTTGAAGAAAATTCTTGTTAGACTTGGGAGCTCAAAGTGCAGTTCTCGGTCTTGCTGTGATCCACCTGCCTTCAGGAAGAAAGCCGATATGGCAATCTTCCCGGCTTGTGCCGCTAAAAGGGCTTCAGTTCGCTAGGGCCATGACACATTGGGATTTTGGAGCTCTCGAGCTCTGCGCACGGGCTTCGACATGTCTTGAGCTTCTGTCTGCTGCCTGCATCCCAAACCCATTGACGGGCAAGCTGCACTATGCGTTCATGCAAGTTAATTCTGATACTTCTCGACGCGAGCCTGCCCCGCCATGGCAAGGAATCCGAGGAACGAGAGGCAAAGCGCCGGCAGGAGGCTGGGAGGGAGATGGAAGTGAGGAAGCGTGGAAAGGGGGTGATATCAAATGGTAAGGGTCACAGGCCGAGCGTGCAATCTGAAAGGTGCTGTCAAGAACATTGCTGCCCCTTCCTTCACTTTTTGAAAGCAGTGAGCCTGAACACTTAGTCAAGCACCTTGATCGGCCTACTGATGCTTGGGATCCTTGGGAGGTGCAAGGGGTCACTGACGCCTGGCATGGTCTGGCAAGGACTATTGGCGATCAGCTTGGCCAGGTGCGTGAGGGGAAACATTGCTTTCATGATCACCAGTTGCTTTGCAGAATTGCGTGGTTTGCAATTCTTTTTCCAGGGTTGTGCCAACGTGGTACTTGTGTCCCAGCCAGCCAATTTGAGGGTGATCGGCGACCCAACTTTGTGAAGCCCGCAGAAACAGATTCTTGGAGGTGCAGCGCCTTGGCGTTCGATTAGAGAGTGGCCTGCAGCAGCTCTCCGACAGCTTGGCAACAGGCTTGGGCTTTGCCTGTCTTCCTACGGGCGTGATTCCTGTTCGAACTTGGGCTTCACCTCATAAAAACACTTCCTGAAACTCTGGCGGTGTATTCACGTGTATCCAGTGGGGCCCATGCCTATCACAAGGGAAGCGATTGCAGTTGCTGCGGTAGGAGGAGGCGCTTCTCAGTCGCCGCAGCAGCGATTCATGGTCTCGCGGCAGCCTACCTCGCAGAAGCCGGGCGCTTGGGGTATGGGGCCTGTCAGGTATACAGTTTTTCTTTGGTAAGCCGAGCAAAGCAGCCAGATCCCTGGGCTGCAGCCAAAAGCATTTAGTTACACCGAGCCGGTCCATGGCTCAACTAGCGCACCCCTGTGAAAGATGTTAGGATAGCGGATGCTGCAATCTCTGTCGTAGTTCTGGACTTGGATGTAAAAAGATCGTGCATACGCCATGCAGCTCCAGAAACAAAGGTAAGAATAGCACCATATCCTTCAATGAAGCTGTCGCATGCCAGGAAGGCTGCAGAGCCTGTCGAAGCGCTTGAGCCAGCGCCCTTCGGACTGAGTTTTCGATAAACATCTTTTGATGGGGGCTCTGGTATTGACTTAAGCACGCTGTTTAGCGTATGCAAATGCCCGGCAGATGGGCGCATGAAACCACTCTTGCACCTTGAGTGATTCCCAGGACTGTGATTGTTCTCTTAAAGGGAGAAGATCACGAGACCTGAAGTTCTTCCCTGTTTAGCCTTCGGTTTGCTAGAATTTGATGCAGCAGCCCAAAAGGTTCGAGTCGCCAATCTCCGTGCGGCAAGAAGAGGTTCGGTCCGGGATGGGCGAGTTTTGATGTTTACGCTTCGTAGTTCGTAGGCTGCAGGCTATTGTTGCAGCTGCTGCTGCATCATACCATGCCGAGACATGCCGAGCACACGGGCAATGTGCTGTCGATTGTCGGCTGGATCAAACCTAGATTCATGGGATTGCTTACAGCATGCAGGGCAGGTTGATATTGCTTCCAGCAAAAAGTCGGGCTTCTGTTGCGAGATGATTTCGCATGGCCCAGGCTGCTGAAGAGGAGGAGCTCCCAGGGACTGTTGTGTCCTTGGCACCGCAGTCGCCCTCCTCGCCCTCAGCACACGGCGCAGAAGTCGCGAATCCTGCCGGCATTCTCTATGCGTTTAGGTCTGATCATGTTTTGTCCTGATGGCTTCTTTTGGCATAATCTGCCTCATAATCCAGAACAAGATCTGGTTTGAGAAAGCATTAGGTGTAGCGTTCCACTCAAGTTTATTCCCTGCCAATGCTCCTGACACGAGGAAATTGACCAGCATGAAGTCCAAGACAAAGGCAAGGACCAATCACAGTTTTCAACCGTCTTTCTTCTGTTTCTCATGGCTGTGAAGGCTCTCCAGAGGTCCTCCACGGCAAAGGAGGACGGGCTAACATTTGCAGAGATGCAGAAGCAGTACGGGGTGCAGCCGGGACTTGTTTATGACAACTCACAGTGGGTGATGATAGTCCTTGTCTTGGGCCTGACTTGAAGGGTGCTCTTCCAAGTGCTGAACACGGCTTCGTTTGGGTAGAGCTTGACCGCCCTGTATTGGATCAAATAAAAGATGATGAGGCTCCTGAGTATATCTGAGTATGCAGGGCTTCATGGAAGTTCTTGTAACACCTACTTTTGGGGATCAAGGTCTGCGCCTAGTTTCAGGGCCGACTGCATTTGCTCAATTACATGCACTGAAGACTCCGACCTGAACGAAACCAGCCACATCTCCAGCCAAACGCCGTCTCACCGAGTATTCAGCTGTTCGAGCCAACCTTTGCCAAACTGCTTGGACACCTGAAGCTGTGTGGCCATCATTGATGTAATGATGGCTGTGCAACTGCTTGCAGTAGGGGGTATGTGTGGAGGGTTTGAAGCTGGACTAAAAACATGCGAATCCCTGCTCTCGTTGAGCTGAGGAAGGGCAAAGCGATGCACACCTTCTATGAGGAACCTGATCCAGGCAGGCACATGCAGGAAATTGAGCACCCTATGACACAATCCACATAATGGAATGGCCATGTGCGTGACGTACTGGCAACGCCATCGCAGCAGGTATCTGCTACCTGCGACGCTGGAGCATGGCCATCGTTGCGCACCGGCGCTTCGAAATGGTTTGCGCAGGTCCTTTGACTGGAGAAGAGGTTTCTGCTAAGAGTCCGTTTATTCAGCCCTCGAGCATTTGGGCGCCCTCCAAGAAATGAGCTGAATCTGACTTTCAAGCAGGCTTGGTGATCCTTTGTGCAGCCGTGATCGGCATTGAGGCTTGTGCGACAGCAGCGGTATCATAGCTATTGGTTGATGTGCTGGGCGCATGGTCTCCCAAGACCGTGTTTGAATGTGTTTGAAAAGTGCGTGGAACTGGCCAACTAAAGGGCTGAACATCTGCAAGGCATCTCAGATGCGGCCTAGGCGTCAGCACTTCTGATGTGAATGGAGGCAAAGCCTGCCTCAAAACTCGTTGGACTGCTGTGCAGGCCGACTACGAGATCCGGAATTCCGACGAAGGCCACCAACACCCAAGCGCGAAAGAAAAAAACATTCAATCATGACTTCTTGGCACGGAGTCTAAGTCTAAGTCAAAGCACTACGAATGCACTTTGATGTGGAGCCTGAGGGTGAGAGCAGAGCCGCCTCCTGTCCTGGTGCAGCCCCAGTGGAAGTAGCAACCGCCCTTTTACATAGCCTCGCCACAGGTCAGCATCCCGTCTTCCGCGGCTTTGATATTGCCTTCAACTTGTGGTTCGCTTCTCGGCCACAATGGCTGCTAGAAGGTGCCAGCGAAGAACGTTGCTTCAAGTTCAGTCTTGAAGCTAGACTGCTATGGAGCCCAACAGAAGCTCCTTGGCAAGTCGCACAAGCCCATCTGATTGGATGCAAAAACCTTAGGCTACGGAGCTGGCACTTCGCTGGTCATCTGAAGGGCTCTGCGCTTTCTTCTCCTGCGAGAACCCCTCCGTACGGTGGCAGCTCGGTGTCACGATGAGCTCACTGTTCTACTGTTTTCAGCTCCGTTGCTTGGCACAGAAGAAAAACATGACTGAAGACTATGCGCCATGGCAGCCAGGCTTGGAGCTCGGTAGACATTTAATCTTAACGCTAATGCGCGCCGTCTCGGCCGGCTCGCCTGTATAGCAGCCAACAAGACAGCTTCAAATCAACTTGTCCCTTCCTAGTGCCATCATATTCTTAGATCACCTCATGTAGTATCCCTACATAATCTTAGCATACGATCTCCTTGTGAGACGCCTTACAGAGCCCTGTATGACCTGCTAAAACCATACGTAACAATTATCCCTATAGAGCCCTGTGCAATACCTGAATGGCCTTATAAAATCTTCCTGGACATTTGTGTGGAAATTGTAGGATCCTCGGTTGAAAGAGGCCGACCATAAAAACGCGAGGAGTAGAAGGTGGTGGGAGCAGGGCCTGCACTGGCGTGAGGGTCAACTCCTCGGCCAGGACGATGACAGAATCATCGTCGGGTGATGACAGTTCAGGCCCGTGCTTAAGGTCACTGTGGGGTTGGGCGTGGAGACCCTCTCCGCACCGGTCCGCTGGGAGCGGGGGAAGTGGGGGTAGGTAGAGTCTTGCTCCCCCAAACGCCAGAGGCCGGGGGCCTCGGCGGATTGCAAAGGCATCGCTGCTCTAACATGGCACAAACAAGGCGTTGAAGCCTGAAGAGAGCTTTGAAAGCCTGTTATCTCAGGGCTGTGCCTTGACAGTCGAGAAAAGAATGGCGGGCTCCCAAACATTCCAAAATGTGTCAAAACCAGTTGGCACAATCTCACTACAAGCGGCAGCCAGAGGAACTTCATGGACTTCTTCTTGGTCTTGTTTGCTGTGCTGGAAGATTCTCGATGCAGCAGATACTTGTGCCTTGGGGACAGTTGTCCATTTTGGGCCGTAGAGTATCGTAGAGTCATGTCTTCTGTCACGTCTTAGGCCCGGTTCAGAATCTGTAGAGTTCTCACTGCCACTCACTGCCGATTGCCATCTGGTCGCCCATGACTGCTATTGCTCTTGGTATGCATAGGACAGGTGACCAAAGCCCCGAGCTGTTTGTCCTCAGCCTTTTGGCTGCGAGCCCTGAGTAATCCCCATACACAAACGATCATGTAACTGCAGCACACCTCATCGCAACAAAGCACTTAACAGAAATCCTGATGTTCCCACTTTAACTGAGAGCTGTGGCTGTACGCCCCGAGGAGATTGCGGCGCTCATGGCTGCAGCTTCCTTTCTAGAGGCACGTAGCATTGCAAAGCTGCAGCAGGACAGGTTTAACATGCAAAGCTGTCTCACCATTTTTAATTTCCGAAGGTCTCCGCCCTCCGAATGCTGCGTATGATGCGCCTGGTCCGAGTGGCGCGCGTGATTCGGATGCTTCCTGTCTCATTCTTCACACTTCCGTGAACTGTTTGACTTCTTTCAGCTCAAGGACAGGACTATCGGGGCATGGCCAATGTTCAGAAAAACAAGCAATATAAGAAGCACAACCGTGTGATAACTATAACCTTGCTAAGCGTTGTTGTATACGAGTACTTGTTTGTGTTTCAGTGGCCCGGGCTTGATGGAGGCTGCGGTTTTTCTCCGAGCTGCGCGTGATGGTGAACGGCGACTTGCTTAGGGCTTTAAGCACCTCTGGGTAGATGCTGTGGGTCTGTGCATGATTCGTTTGGGCATGGGCGGGTCTGATCTGACAACTGCCTGGACGTCGGGCATGAGTTCTAGTATCTCGAGCCTGCCACAGCGTGCTGGAGACTGAAGCTGGGTCTGAGCTCAGCGAAAGATTGTAAGGCCGGGCCCCTCAAGCCTCCATAACCTGAGGCATTATGGGCTCCACAAAGCCATTGCTTTGGGCCTTTGTTTTCCTGCTGATCCTGCAGCTTGGCCTGCTTGACTGCTTGGTTCACCTTCAGTTTGGGAATTGCTTTGATAAGCTGCTGGTGGTCTGATGCCACGGGGATTTGTTCGAGGATGTTCATCGTTGGCGTTACGTTCATGCAGCTCGCGTCCAACTACATCAAGGCAGCAACCTGCAATCTCAATCTTTGCTCCGTGCATCTGGATGGTCTACACTTAAGCACCAGCAGCACTACACTCATCTCTTTTGTGCCAGTTCCAGTTCCATCACTGCTGATCCCACGCTGTTGTTACGAGACGAGTGCAGCTTGTGAGGAGCAATCAGCTAACTGTTCACACCCTTGCTGTGGATTCTTTTCCTTGTAGGGCAAAGGGGTTCCCCTGAGGAGAACGGCGGGTCACAGCAGGAGCTCATAATCTACTGGGGCTCACTCTCACGAACCATGATGACGCTGCAGCCCGGCAGAGTTACGATTCGCTTGTATATGATGCCATCTGAGAATCTGATGACAGGGAACAGTAGACCGCTAGCACTGATGTTGCCGCTGGCTTGGATGCTATGATTCTGGAACAGTCGGATAGCTTTGCCCGCTGGAGCACCCAGCGGACGCATGTATCGGAAGTCGTGTGAAAACCTACTAAACCTCACGACAAAGCCCGGCTTGAATTTGAGGTACATGGCCATAAGCGGTGGCATAGATTGGCAAGACTGTGTGCGGCCGCTGCGCATGGTCAGCGAAGCTCTGGAGACACAGCCACAGCCGATAAATACCAAGTGCTCCCTACTATCACTGTCTTAAGCGGGGTTGTGTGGGATTGGTGACGGGTTCGTTGTAGCACGGATGGCTCTCGATTCAAGAGCCCAGTGTGTGGCCCGTGCTGCCGAAGTTATCGTGTCTTGTCAGACCTCGCCAGGCCGAACAGTCCCACACCCCACCGGAACTCTATAATGTAACGACTTGCGATACCACACCGCAGGAATGCGGGCAAATGTCGAGATTTGTTCGTGGTTGGTTATTCAGAGTGCAATGCCCTGAAAGGAGTACATGTTCGCAACCTACGTCTTCTTCACCATGTTCTGCTGTCTGAACATTGCAACCTGTCTTGATGATTCCACGGCTTGTGCTTGCGATGCAAGCATGCCTGAGTTTCCAGCGACTGCATGAAGACGTAGCGGGGCCAAGCAGAATCGTTTCCTGAGATACTTCAGTCTGATGCGGCATGTCTAGAGCTTGATCTGAAGCTGAAGGTAACCGGGATCTTCGTGGACAACGCAAAAGCTCTGAAAGGTGCAGATGAGGATGCCATGTACCTGGAGGTGCCTACCGTTGCACGATGCCACCCTGACGCTTTCCGGAAAGCGCATCTTTCAGTCAAGAGTTGTGCGCACACCCTAGAACCGTTTAAGTTGCAATGCCTGCAAAAGCCTATTGCAACCCACATCGCGAACATCATGTAGGTCGCGCACAACGCTCCTAGATGATCAAGAGGAAGAAGATGCCGGTCGTGATGATGGTAGCTGTGGTTGTGGTGGTGCCCATTATCCAGCATCCATGTTGCCACTTGCGTTTTGGCCCGCGATGAGGCGCTGACCGAGAGGAAGCGGTGGATAGCTGACATCAAGGCCGACAATGCTAGATTTGAAGAGTCGATAGGTCCTGGTGCATTGCTGCTTGCTTGTGGACAATGCCTTTTGAGATCTAGCCATCCCTTTCTCTGATTACTTTGCTACTAGATGTCGCTAATTTCTGATTGGCCGGTGTGATGTAGAGCCTGTAGGCGCGCTTCACGTAAAGGCTTGGATGCAATGCGCAGTTGTTGTACCGCAACCGTTTAGTGTTGACTCTCAAGGCTACATGTTGCGAAGGCTTCTTGAGCGTGTCGAAAGTTGCGCACTTGTTCCAATGTCTCCAACACTGGCTTTCCATCCATCATGCGGCAGGACTTGTTCATGCGACTGGCTACGCTCAACGGCCATTTCACGCTGGATGATTTCAAGGAGCAGATCTACAACATCAAGGTTCTCCAAGCTTGTGCTATGAGATTGCCATTCACGTATCGGGATTCTGAGCACCAAGGTGACCTATGCGACTGTCTCTGTTGTAACAGAACATTGGCTTGCCGGTGCAAGTTTCGTGTTTTCAGATCCTGTCGCAGACAGCTCGCCACAGTCAACATGACGTCATGGCTTGGTGAAGAGCCCCTGGCAGGTTCAGACGCTGTTCCGAAAGCTTGGCATCAACTTGGATGGCATCAACGCAGAAGAACTGTGGGAGCTTTGGAGCTGTTTGGGAAGGATGGCATTTAATGCGAGAAATCTTCTTTTTCGAGTTGGAGTGGATGTAGACCGGCATGTATATGGAGTTACCATGTAAGCTTTCATGCGTTGCTCATTGTTTAGGTGCAGGTGCGGGGGACCGTACCATATGCACTGTCATTGGATTCATTGGGTTGTTAGGGCTGTCGTGAGCTTGCTTGAGCATCTGCAGACCAACAAAAAGAATGTAAGCAAAGGCATGGGCCCTCCTCACTCCTCAACCAAAAAGCTGATGCTAGGCATAGACATACCAAAGCAATCCAAAGCAGGTATTGTGACTTTTGTGCGTTCCGTTTCTTTGGAACCAGCAAAGGACATATTGGATGCGGACCAGAGCGGTTGCATTGATGAGGAAGAGTTCGCCAAGGGCCTGACTTCTTGACTGCATTGCGAACAGGAGCTGAGATAGCCCAAGTGCTTTGACAGTTGGATTTCCTTGAGCCCCCGGACAAGCACAAGCTTCTAGAAGCTCTTTGGCGCAGTCGGATGTGCCAAGCTCTGCTCATCCCCCCTTGCAGAGCTAGTCTGTCAGTTGCTGTTGGAAAGCCAAGCTGAAACCCTGAACATCATCTAGTTTTAATCAGGCGATTGAATCGATCCTTGGTGAGCCTATTCCTTGGACATCTTGCTTTCCGAGGAAGTTTTTTCAAGGGCCAGCGCAAAGCATCCACGTCTATCGCTTGATGCGCGAGGGTGCCAAGCTTCACGACAAGGCTTGTAGACCCATCGTGGCAGGACACCTTCATTCACGCGGCATGAGTTTGAGGAAGAGCCATTAGTTGCACACAGCCACGAAGCAACCTTTGCCATGCCTGTCCTGCAGGTGGAGCATCTGGCGGAAGTCTGCAGTGAAATCCTAGAGCACCAAAGGCTTCAGATGCAGGACTAGTTGGTTGAGATTTGTGTTTCACAGCTTCCACCAAGCAGTTTTCCCCAATCAATCGCAACTTGGCCTGCCCACAAATCAGAGCAGCGGCGGCAGATTACTGCCAACGCCCCTTTGCAATTATGACTGCAAGCAGCGTTATGCCTCAGTTTCTTGCAGGCGGCCCACAAACGTGGGCCTTGCCCTGCTCCGGGAGCGCATACCCCCAAGGCACTGACAAGTCACAGGAATTGTCTAGAACCCGCACCCTGCAGCTTTCGTCAGGCTGTCCTTCCCATTGACTTATATCATGAGTGCTACAGCAGCAATCCATAGCACAAATTGCGAAGTTATGCGAAGTTGGCGCGTAACAAAGTCTGAGCCGCTTATGTGCCCAAAGATAGTGACTGGTGCCGTAGAGCGCGTGGGCTTTGCTCACCTTAATGGCGGGTTCTGATTATAACCGCCCCCCCCCCCCCCAAACAAGTACGTTTCTAGATAGCCCGGGGTCCCCGATCGATTGTCGGAATCTTTGTTTGGGGGGGTCCTAGCCCTAAACCTTGTTTGGGAACCCTTAATTGCAACGGCTGTTCGAATAAGTGGTCTTATAATCGATGGTTTCTGGCACGCTCCAAATCTGAGAATCGGAAAGGAATTGGCTTCTAGCAAGAAAGCTTTAATGAAATAGGTTTCAGATCTCTTGGCCTAAGGCTTGAATATATTTGCAATTTGAAGCTTATTCTTCTTTTGCAGATTCTGGGGTCCATGCCTGCCAGGGTCCTGATTATTTCGTACCCTTTTCCATGGCCATTATTCCGTTCCGGCGGCCTCAGTATAGTACCCCTTAGCAGAAATGA